ACTCACTTATACACCCTCTCTCTCTCACACACACGCACACACACAGACACTCACTTATACACCCTCTCTCTCTCTCACACACACACACACATAGTCATACACCCTCACACAGACGCTCACTTATACACCCTCTCTCTCACTCACACACCCTCACACAAATACACACACATAAAGACACCCATACTCACACATACACATGCACCAAAACACAGACACACTGCTTCTGAACAGCCACTGCTGTTACAGCTAAAATGGCGAGAGCTCTCCTGAGCAATGGGAGGGTAGGATGTAGGCTCCGACCTCACCGCCACATCCACATTTTACCCCAGCCTTTACCCAAACCGAGGGCCGTAGCAGCGGGACCCGTGTGTGTTTGGGTTGCGGGAAGAAGAAAGGTTCAAGGGGTCGTGTTGGGGGTTCGCTGGTGGATGTAAAGCCCGTAGAGGACGGTCTCCGGGCGGCAATTGGCCCCAGTCCCAACCACTGCCCCACCGTGCGGCTCCTCCTGAGAACGCAGCTCGGGCCCGGGAGCACCGGGAACGGACAGGGGACAGAGGACAGAGTGGGACACTGCTCCCCATGTGGACCATCTTTCTGGCGCTTTGTGACCCATGAGGCAGTCCACTTGACCTGGCCTGAGGCACCAGGACCAAACCCCTCTGTTTGTATCAGGCAGCAAGGGGTTCTGCAAAATAACGTGATCCCGTTCAAATCCCAGCACAATCTGATTTCCATCTCCTGGCCGTCATTGCCATTTTAAAAATTTAGTCATGTGACTCGGTTTTATTGACCAGTAGTGACTGATTGTGATTCAGTTGTAAATCTCCTATTTACATTTCAAACCCACTGCATTGTGTCTTCAGCCAAGTGAGGGAAAGATTCATTGCGGTATTCCACCCCACTGTTGGCTCAGGCTGGACGGTATCGAACCCCACACTGCGTAAGGTAGCATGTTTTTACACTTGGACAGATTTAATTCCAATGTAGACTCTGACAGAATGCATGGTTGGATAATCTGAGAACATTTCGTGAGATTGTAGATTTTCTGCGCAGGTTTTGAATGTCATAGATTGTCAGACCCTATGTAACAGGTCCATCGAGATGGCTAACACTGTGGTGTATGTGGAATCCAGGGAACAACATTCCCTGCTCAGGTCTGTACAGGGAAATATGTCATTGACTCAACTATGTGCAATCCCTATTCCCAGCTCTGACTGCAGAGATCTAAAGAGTACAAGATATTCTGCAAAATCTGGCACAGATCTTTGATTGCTCAGGGAATGGAGAGATATGGGAGTGAGCCGGAAAGTGGATTTGAAATCCAAGACCAGAGCTGCACGCTGGCTCAGTGGTTAGCACCGCTGCCTCACAGCACTAGGGACTCAGGTTCAATCCCACCCTCTGGTGACTGTGTTGACTTTGTGTGTTCTCCCTGTGTCTGTGCAGATTTCTGCTAGGTGTTCCGGTTTCCTCCCACAGCCCAAAGATCTGCATGTTAGGTAGATTGGCAGTGCTAAATTACCCACAGTGTTCAGGGATGTGTAGGTCCAGTGTGTTAGCCATGGGAACCATGGGAAATGCAGTGTTACAGGGATAGGATAGGGGAATGGGGAAGGGTCTGGGTGGGATGCCCTTTGGAGGGTGGGTGTGGACTCATTGGGCTGAATGGCCTGTTTCCACATGGTAGGGGTTCAATGGAAGACCAGCTGTGATCATATTGAATGGTGGAGTAGGGCCAATGGATGAATGGTCTCATTCTGCCCCTCCTTTTCTGAATATCTTGGTGGCTACTCAGATGCTCCTCGATGCCTCCCTGAAGCAGACATTATTTATATTTAATCTTTGATTGTAAATTCTGCCGGACTATAATGTCTTGAGTTTAATCTGATCCTGTGTACAGCTAACAACCGCAGTCTCACTTTTCAACAGGAGGTATTCAATACTAATCAGGAACATGAACCCTAACTGATTACTCAGTCCTTGCCCAGTTAGTGGAGGTTGATTTAAGTGTTTTTACTATAGTCCAATGAGACCAGTGACAACCCCTGGAGCATGAGCTGAAGCTGTCCTGCTATTCATTGACTTTGAGAGGCACCAGGGAGCCTCATAATGGTCCTATCAGTAGCATCATTTGCCAGGCTGTTGATATGCATGGTTTATCACAGGCTGTGGCTGCAAGCATACAGCTAGGACTGTAAGTTTAGCTAGTGCTAAACTAATCTTCACTCACCGCTGACATCAACAGTTGTACCCTTTCCATGTCCCCCAGGCACCATTTACAAGAGCCCGTTCTGTCCTGTATTTTAGTGTTGCACCCCATGCCTTGTCTTTTTCTTTGTTATGAGGCCTATTTAAGATTTTGCGATTGATAAGTAGATATAGCAACAACTTTTACGTACTGGCTTCAATACCATTGTTATTATTCAATATTATTCAAGTATTCAATGTACACAACTACCTGTAGTGTCACTTGAAAACAAATATTTTGGAACATTGGTGGGGTGAAAAGCCTCAGTTATGAGGAGAGACTGGATAGGCTGAGTTTGTTTTTCTTGAAATAGAGGAGGCTGAGGGGAGATCCAGTTGAGGAATACAAAATTACGAGAGGCATAGACAGAGTATGTCATGAGAATCTCTTCCATATGGCAGACATATCTAAGACCAAAAGGCGTAAGTTTAAGTTGAGGAGCAAGTGGTTTAGATGAGATATAAGGAAAATATTTTTTACCCAGAGGGTGGTAGAAATACAGAATATGCTGCCTGAGATAGTGGTGGATGCAGGCGCTTTCACAACATTTAAGAAGCATCTGGATGATTATTTAAAATGGAAAAGAATAGTTGGTTATCGACCAAGTGCAGGTAAATGAACTTTAGTGTATTTTTGTGTTTCTTGATTGGCATAGACATGTTGAGTTGAAGGACTTGTTTCTATACTGTATGATTCTATGACTCTTATTATAATGGACCAGGAATAAAATACTGTCGCTACATTTAGTTACTTACAATGGGCACTTTTAAAACCATTTTTAAACCAGAAATTAATCCAATTGAGTTCTGAGGAAGGATCACCAGACCTGAAACATTAACTTAGATTTTTCTTCACAGATGCTGCTAGGCTTGCTGAGCTTTTCCAGCAACTTCTGTTTTTGTTCATTGATTCAATCCCTCTTTGAATAGCTTGGAGCAATGCAAAACTCAATGGCTAATAGTAATGCTTTCCTTGCAGTTTGATATAGTTAATTCCTTCTGTACTTTATAGCTGTAGTATGTGTTCTGATATTTTACAAGGGCCTTCTTGTAATTCCCAATGATATTGTTTCTTCATTAATTAAAATAATCCTCAATCTCTTAATCAGATACATTAAACTCTTTGGAGCTTTATTTAACTGTATCATTTCTTTTGCATCTTCACCTTTCTGTATGTACATTGAGTATTGCCAAATGATCATTGACACTCACTGGTGTTAATATGTTAAGTCCAGTTACTGCTGCTGAAAACTACACATCACAGACAATTTGTATCACCTCTGTTTATGTTTTATGGATCCCTTTATTTAATATTGTAATTGCTGACCAAGAAAGTAAAGCTTTCAGTTTTTGGATTTTTGCAAGCCTCAGACTTTTCCTCAGTTACTATACCAAGATGTTAATCACTTCTAAAGTGAGAGATTGTGGTGAAGACTTCATTACCAGCCTTCAGTAAACTGTAGAATTGGCCTCTAGTTTTCTTCCATCTGCTGTTAGTGTGTGCATCTTATTTCTCAAACAACTGAGGTTGAAAGCAGTGTGGTGGCCAGGGAATCGAACTGTGTTCCACTGTTTCAGGGTGCTGCAATATTTGATAACTATGATGTATTAATTTGCATTTTCTGTAGTAAGTGTTATTCTGAATGCATCTGGTAAATAATTCAGTCTTTGCATTTCCTTCAATATTGTTGTTCCCTGAATTGGTCCTGTACAGTATAACATCACAATAATCTGCAAAATTACACCTATTCACACCCTGCAGGTTGATACCCAAGTGTCTGTGTTGTAGTAATAGTTCCAGCGACATTTGATAATAGTCATACCTAAGCAATATCATTGCTTCTCTCACAAACTCATTTGCCCCAACATCTGACAATGTTAGCAATGGTGAAATAGAATTTTGGAGCACAAAGAGGCCGCTCATGGCTGTAAAAACACAATCGCAGTCATTGATCATCACTTGGTGATAATCACATAATTTGTAACTTTGTCGTCATGTTTTTTTCATCCAGATGGTTTTTATTTCTGTAACAATTTTTTTTACTGATGCCTTTTATCAACACTCAATCCAAGAATTTAATTTTAAACCAAAATTTGCAAATCTGTATGTTTTCTATAATATTGTGTTTACCAAAGACACATAGGCATTGGAAAGTGGAATCGGATCACTTTGTAAAATCAAATGTAGACATGAAGTGCTCATATCAGAAGTAAAAGTGAATGATCTCGCATTTATCTACATTGTATTCATTTGCCACACTCATGCCCACCCACTCAGCCTGTCTAAATCCCCTTGAAGCCTCTTTCTGTCCTCCTCACAACTCATATTCTGACCAAGTTTTATATATTGTAGTGTTGGAAATATTACAACTGAACTCCACATCCAAATCATTGATATTGATTGTGAAAAGCTGAGCCCAGACACTGATCCTTGCAGTACCCTGTTCGTCATAGCCTACCAACCTGAGAATGTTTCATTTATCTCTGCTTTCTGCTGGTTACCCGATCCTCTGTTCGGGCAGGGTATTATCACCAATTCTATGCATTGCAGTTGTTTATTGGTAGCACAGCAGTTTGAGATCCACTTTTGTACAGCAATGTAATAATGAAAGGGACTGAACAAAGCAGCTCACTTCTTCAGAGGGGGAAGGGAGAATATTACAATTTATCCCCAATGAGCTGAACAATGAGAGGATTGGATATTTGGAAGGCATATATCTGCTTATAAGCTTATGATTGTGGAATAATATTTGACAAGGAAGACCAAAAAATGAGGGAGATCTTATGTGACTGAAAGGGTAGACTGCCAGTTCATGATCTGCAACATCAACATTTTTATAGAACTCTGCAGGAACCAAAGTGTGTCCAAACCTGAATAAACAAAGAACAAAGAAAATTACAGCGCAGGAACAGGCCCTTCGGCCCTCCAAGCCTGCATTGATCCTCTATCTAAACCTATTGCCAATTTTCCAAGGATCTGTATCCCTCTGCTCCCTGCCCATTCATGTATCTGTCTAGATACATCATAAATGACGCTATCGTGCCCGCCTCTACCACTTCCGCTGGCAACACGTTCCAGGCACCCAGCACCCTCTGCGTAAAGAACTTTCCACGCATAGCTCCCTTAAACTTTTCCCCTCTCACCTTGAAATCGTGACCCCTAGTAACTGAGTCCCCCACTCTGGGAAAAAGCTTCTTGCTATCCACCCTGTCTATACCTGTCATGATTTTGTAGACCTCAATCAGGTCCCCTCCTCAACCTCCGTCTTTCTAATGTAAATAATCTTAATCTACTCAACCTCTCTTCATAGCTAGCGCCCTCCATATCAGGCAACATCCTGGTGAACCTCCTCTGCACCATCTCCAAAGCATCCACATCCTTTAGGTAATGTGGCGACCAGAACTGTATGCAGTATTCCAAATGTGGAATAGATTTCTCAATATCACCAATTTCCTTATTAGAACATAGAAACATAGAAACATAGAATTGTACAGCACAGTACAGGCCCTTCGGCCCACAATGTTGTGCCGAACTTTTACCCTAAACCTAAGGTCTATCTCGCCTCAACCCCTACCTTATACTATCATCCATATGCCTATCTAATAGCTGCTTAAGTGCCCCTAATTATAAGGTCATAAGACCATAAGAAATAGCAATAGGAGTAGGCTGTTCAGCCCCTTGAGCCTGCTCCACCATT